AAGAATGTAATGTTCATAAAGATTTGAAAAAAAATCAATTTAATTGTAATCTTTTATTCAATCTTTTGTTTTCCAAGTTCTTTAAAAAAAAATTCTAGAGAAAGAGAAAAGTGAAAAGTTTTATTAAAAAGGGAAGATAAAAATAAAAAAAATGGAATCCATGCCACAGTGATCGTGTATGTTCAATGGATTTTGTAGATGGAACACCTACCATTGCTAACATATAGCCAAGAAGGAGTTTAAATAAACTTTGTACAAAATTGAACTTTTTAGTTTTGAAAGGTATTAGTACAGATTCCTGTGCTAACACATTCCTTGAATACTATTATTTATCGACTTTAAGGTCTTATATTTTCATCTCTTGAATTATTGACCAACACAGGTTTTATGTTACAGAGTGCAGCACAAGCTATCACAATATCATCAACATGACGCAACATTGTTAGAGGAAAAACATTCTTTAAAATTCTATAAGTTTTGATTCTATTAATGACTCGTTCAACGTGTATTCTTAAGTTTGCTATTTTTTTAGTTTTTTTACATTCAGATGCAATCATTTGACTTTTAAGACGAGCACCTGGAGGAATTATCAAAGTACAAAGACTTAACAAAAGTTCTTCCTGGATTTGAAATCCACGATCTGCCACGACTTCATCGTCAGCCTCTAACAAGTCATAAAAACCACTGTCTTTTGTTATAAAATTATCTGAACATCTTCCATCATAACAATCAGATAAAAAAGTAATAAAACCACTCGGCGAAATTCCTACAAGAAACTTAAACGTATTTTGTTGTTTATAATCAGACCAAGTTGAGGCTTGTGCTAAGAGAGACTTGGGTCGTTCAATAAAACTTCAGCACAATCAATTATCACACAACACTTGTAATACCCTGCATTTTTAAAAACCCTAGGCAAAGTTTCCCTGATAATTTCACGTGGAAGTCATACAATAAGAGCACTACCTAACACATTGCTTATAAGTTTAATCCATGTGGAAAATATGTTAGAAGAAGTAGTAGGAGAAATTCTGAATCGTTCTGCAATGTCTTCATTAAGAATACCAAGACAAAGTTGCATAAGTGTTAAAAAAGATTTGTCACAATGAGAAAGTTTTCTATATTTAGTTGACTGAAATCTGCGTTTTAATTTGCTAGTATTCTGAACATGTTTTGGTCCTCGCCAGTAACTAAGCTTTTGAAGAAATGGTATAATAAGAAGATGGCATTAAATAAAGCTATAGTAGATATCCCTGCATAAAAGTTCATTTTTTTGTCTGTTTTAACTTTGTTGCATGAAAAAATAAATAATTTCTTAGTTTGATTAACTTGTTTTTATTTTAGTTGTTTCAAGGATATATTCAATAAATTAACTTTTTTAACAAGAGAATCAATCAAAGATGTTTTAGAATTACATTCTTCACAAACATTTAGCAATGACTGGCTAGCATATGTAAGCATAACGATAATGCAATTTATCTACCACCTTGGCGGTGGTAGATAAATTGCATTATCGTTATTACTACTGCATAACTTATTGGTATTATCTTCAGTTGTAATATTATTAGTGTCATTACATTCTGTGCTAATACCTTTCAAAATTAAAAATTTCGATTTTGGACAACGTTTATTAAAACTCTTTCTTGGCTTAATATTAGTAGAATTATATCCCATATATAAAGTAGGGTCTGGATTAGCAATGGTAGGTATTCCATCTACAAAATGCATCGAACATACACGATCACTGTCGCATAGATTCCATTTTTCCTTATTTTTACCATCCCTTTTTAATAAAATTTTCCACTTTTCTCTTTCTCTAGAATTTCTTAAAGAACTTGGAAAACAGTAAAGATTGAAAGGACGATTACAACCACATTGTTCTTTTTTTAAACCTTCATGAACATTACATTCTTGTTTTTTCCACTTCAAAAGTTTATAATGGCTATTCGAACACCCTATTACTGCACAGTTACCTCTTGCCATTGTGTTGAATTCAAAAGATGAGATAAATACAAATAAAATATTAATTCAAATACAGATATTTAGGAACTTTTATCCACACAATTAGAGTTCAGTCCCCGCCGCGCAAAGTGGTAGGTGTTTATAACGCATAGTTATTTAGTTATTTCAACTATATTGATATTGAACTTATTATTTTTCCTAAAACCTTGTTTTCAATAACTATCACTTTATTCGTGGATTTCATTTATTATCAGGGGCGATTCTAGAAATAAAAGTTTTAAATATATAAAAAAGAAAAGAATGAAAAGATTAAAATAAAAAAATGAAAATGAATTTTTATATGCATTTATATTTAACCGAAAAATCGAAATTAGTTGCCTTTGAAAAATCGAAAAGTCAATTTAATCGACTGTGGATTTCCTATTAATCGCTAAAAGTTGATTAAGTTGATTAATTATCTTAAAATCCTTATATCTATTTAATCGATATAGCTATTTCATTTTTTAATTATTGTTTGTTCAATTAATAACAATTGCATGTACTATTACAACTTTTACATGATATCTAGCTTTTTGTTTACATTCTTAAAACTTTATCTAATTCATTGCATGTTAGCAATGTTTATGCCTAATTAAACTTTCGGTTATGCATTTTATTAGTTCTTTGTTTGTTTGTTTATTCTATGTTTGTGATTTTCAAAATACTTTCATACAGGGCTGTTCCAAAATAATTAAGGGCCTTAGAGCAAAGCTAAATTATGAAACTCTAAAATCAAAGTTTCATTTAAACAATCCCATTGAAAATATGATTGCATATACTTTTTTTTTTTAGAAAGTATTTAAGACCCTTAATAAATGGAGCTTGGGAATAAACTGTCCCATTGTCAGAGCGACCCTGCTATCGCATTGTTTTGTTTCATTAATATTCAAATGGTATGGTACCTTTAAAAATAATTAACGAATAAAAATTACCTTATTACTTTTATTAACCTATACTTCGAAAAAAAAATTTATTCCAATATTTTGTCTAAATCGACTTTTAATCGTTATAGTTAATTTCAAAAATATAGTCGTTGGTTTTAGCTGATTTGGTTTGTCGGTTTAGTCGACAATCATTTTATTTAAATTCGTAACAGTACTTAAAAAAAGGGTCACCCGACCGAAATGTGTCAAATGACTAACCGACAATAACTTTAAAATCGCGTTCTTTAATGGGGGAAGGGGGAGGGAGAGAGAAAGAGCGAGGTATAACATCGCCGACTTAGAATCACTCCTGAAACACTGAATCACTCCTGTTTTATTAATAATTTTTTTCGAACAAAGAAAAACAAAAACATATCCGATTCCTTCCGTGTTTACGATGTGTTATAAATGTTACAAATGAAAACTTCTGCAACGAAGTCATAAAATAATGTTTGGTCACTCTCCTCGATTTAGCTAAGTTAGAAGATAGTGAACCATCCACTATACTACGAATAAAACCATCCACTGTATTACGTAAATAACCACTATAATACGTATATAACCATCCACTATATACGTATAAATAATTACTCTTAAATAAGCCATGTAGTATGTGTATATATCTAGATAATATATCATTGTTATTGTTGTTGTTGTTGTTGTTGTTGTTGTTGTTGTTGTTGTTGTTGTTGTTGTTGTTGTTGTTGTTGTTGTTGTTGTTGTTGTTGTTGTTGTTGTTGTTGTTGTTGTTGTTGTTGTTGTTGTTGTTGTTGTTGTTACTAACCCAACTATATCTTTAAATATAAAAGTATTGGATAGCAAATAATAACATAAGATTCAAATATAATAAGATAAAATAATTAAATAAAATCCTGTTTCCAATTCTGTTCTGTTATATTCAAATCATAAATCATCAAAATCTATATATAGATTTTCAATATCTCATATATAAGGATACGACTATTTAAAGTTATTGTTAGGAGTAAATTTAAAATTGACATAATAGTAAACGTTTTTAAATAAAAAGTTAATTTTTGATAAAATTTTAAATTTGCTGATGTATTTTGATCTCGTTTATTACAGAAATATTTTTTTAATAATAATTTTATAAGGCCTATCGCAGTTTGGGCTGCGGCAGTGGCGGATTAAGACTTCTTGGGGCTCGGGGCTATTTTTGTTTTTGGAGGCCTTTTTACTGAATTTGCGGGGCCCGGGGCTATAACCCCCCCCTCGATCCGGTACTAGGCTGCGGTTGGGTTAGCTCCAAAAAACCAATTTTTTGCAATTAATTCTCATTTAACTCAATATTCAACCTAATAAAAATCTATACCCCTCCTCCTTTTTTTTTTTTTAGGATCCCAAAAAACTTGAAATATTATATATCAGATAATAAATTATATACAGAGCCAGGGAGGCGCGGGCATCCCCTATTTTCTTTTCTAAATAACCTTTTTTTTATAGTAGAAATTTCTCGATATAGAGGACTTTCATTTAGAAATTGACTATTCTACTTATCCTTTCGAAACCCGTGTCGTCGACCCTGATATATATATATATATATATATATATATATATATATATATATATATATATATATATATATATATATATATATATATATATATATATATATATATATATATATATATATATATATATATATATATATATATATATATAATGCTATCAAATTTTGAATAGTGTCCTTAACAAAATGACCACGCACTCCCAATTTAAGAGTGCAAGGTTTCTAACCATTACTACTATATTGGGAAAAAATAATAGAGTAAATAATGGTGTAATGCTGGATTGAGAAATTTGAAAATTAAGATTGGGGTCTACTTTGATTTAAAAAAGATATTACACAATGCTAGTTGTACAACTGTTAAAATAATATACAATGCATAATTTATTTTAGAATACTAATTTTTTTAATATTAAATTTTTTAATTTTTAAACATTAACTAATTATATTTATTTTCGGAATAACTTGATTTAGTTACGTATTTGTATATAAATAAAAACCGCCGTGTGTAATTACTTTGCTTAACCTCCATTATTTACTTTCCTAATAGCGTCTTTGTTTTTGCCGGTTGCTATGCAAGATTTATTATTTATAGATTTATAAAATTAAAAATAGATAGCATAGCTTGCTTTACAATATTCATGCAAACATTTAAAATAAAAAGATTGCTACTAAAACAGTTGTTGGAATAATGAGTACAACCAGACAAGTGCTTCAAGGTATATATTTATACCTGTTTGTTTTACTAAAGTTTTTCCAAAATTGAAAAAAACAAAAGTTCCTACTGAAACTGTTAAGAATGATAATAACCGATAACCAATAACCGAGTTGAAACAAGGTTTTTGTTTGCATACTAATGAAAATTGATAGGTTTTTTGTGACTTGAGGTGATTCTTAAAATCACTTACTCAAATGAACCGCAATCATGCCAATTTAGCCGTTACAGTTGTTGTAATTTACAACAACAATATACAGCTTCATTATATTTTACAATATTATTGTAAAATTTAATGAAGCTGTACATTGTTAATACAGTTAAAAAATTGTGTTACAAAGAGGTAGCTTTTATAAATATTTAATTACAATATATAAAAAATATAACATTAAAAAAGTTGTATTTGCAGCGTATAAAAATGTAAATGCAATTTTTAAAACTCAGTTGGGACAGTTTGCATAAATGAAATTTTACATCAAATGCAATTTGCTTGATGAAGGTTGGTTTACGCAGTTTAAGGTTAATTTAATAATTTAAAATTATTAGACTGGGTAATGTGAAATAAATGTTTACTATGCTTGGAAAAAAAACTACAAATAAAAATTCAACTACACTTAAAAAATTCTAAATTAAAAACTACATAATTGTGGTATTATATATATATTTTTAATGTGTGATTGCACTTTCTGCTTATTATAATTGTTATCCTCTTATCAAGAAATGTGAAGAAAGTTTTCCAGGAAAATTATATTTTATAAATTATGTATAAAAATTATATTTTATAAATTATGTATAAAAATACATAAACTTTCTCATATATATGTTTTTTTGTTAAATTTTTTCAGACATAATATCTTAGAGACCTGGATAAAAGTTTTTAGGTCAAAACTCAATTTTTTTTGAGATAACATAAAGAATATAACTACTAAAACTTTTAGCATTATAACACAAATAAACATAAACATTTAGTACTTTATAACATTTTAATACTAACAATTTATCAAGTAATATAATAAGATTTATAAAATTTCTAAAAGAGCGACTATATTTTAATATCAGCAAGAAAATATATACTAATTGCACTAATAATACTATATAATAATACTAATTAAGTAAATAAAATAATCAGAAGAAAAGTAAAATTTAGTGAAATTAAATAGATTAATTTTGCAATAACAATAGCATAATTAATTAAACAGAAATTTATCAAGATTGTGCTTGACGAAAATACTTCAATAGAATTTACTTTTTTGTATACTTAATAACTTTTCTTATTCTTATTCTGAAACTTTTATTTGGAAAGATGACTAATTAATAATGTTAGACTTTTCAATTATGACCCATTATCATGGAATTAAGTATGTGCAAAAAGTGTTTCTCCATTTACTTTATAAAAAAAACTTATTTTCCTGCCTGCTGGAAAATGGTATCTGTGGTTTCAATTTTTAAAAACTCTTGAGAACATTCTGACCCCTCCAACTATCCTCTGATCAGTCTGTTATTAGCAAGGTCTTTGAGTCTTTGATCAAAAAATTTCTAACATCTCATCTTAAGTCAAATAACTTACTGTCAGACAATCAATACTGTTTTCAATCCTTTTACTCTACGGCTGACTTTTTAACTGCTGTGATTGAAAAATTCTGGTGTCGTTGGCCCTGTATATAATTTAATAACTGAAATATAATTTTTTAGGATCGGGGTCCCGGAATGTAAATTTTAGAAAGGATTCAAAACTTTCCCATAAAAAAAATGTAGGCTAAATGTTTATATATGCTTGTGATTGAAAGAATCATTCATTATGATGAGTTTAGGGCTATTGCTCTTGACATATCTAATGCTTTTTAGAAAGTTTTGCATGCTTGTCTTCTCCATAAGCTTGTGGATATGGAAAAGTTTTTGAGATTATCAAATTATTTTTTTTCTAACTGCTTTATTAAAGTTATCCTTCAAATACACTCTTCTTCATTTCAAGTAATTTCTAAGGTATCCTAAGGTTCTATCATTAGCCCTGTTTTGTTTCTTATCTATATTAATGATCTTTCTGATAACCTTATATCTAAAGTAGCTTTATTTGCTGATAACTCTACTTTATACTCCTGTTTTGACAAAAAGTCTTTTCTATTACTTAGAACAGGCATCTGATCTTAAATCTGACTTTTGTGAGATCAGATTTGCATTTGTAGCGGCTCGTTAATTTTAAATCCATCAAAACTTAGTTGTTTACTGCAAACAGCTATTGCAGCACTGTCGACATTCCTTTACTGATGAATGGCAATGTCTCACTGAGTCCTCTTTTTTATGTCTTGGATTATCCAGTGATATTTTTGTTCGGAAAATAATTTTAGTTTTAGTTTTTATTCAGTTTAGAGGCAAAGTTTTTAGTTCTAGTTCTTATTCAGTTCAGTAAATAAATTTAGTTCTAGTTTTTATTCAGTTCATCTTAAAATAATTTTAGTTTTAGTTTTTATTTAGTTCAATTTTCATTTGTCGTATAAATTTTTTATCTCATCTAATTATAATTTAGTATAATTTATAAATAATATAGGCATATATAATTAAAAGTAGTAAGTCTTAGTTCTATAAACAAACAAAAAAATGAGAACTTAATTAAATGTAATACACCCAGTCCCATGGCTAGAAGTTTAGAGCCCCGCCCACCGCCCTTAATAAAAAACACAACAACAACCTGTCCTTATTGCTCTAAAACTTAAAAAAATTTCAATTATTAGGTATAAAAAAAAACTTCTCAAATTTGGTAACAATAAAAACTAATGAATAGTTATTGTATAGACTTTAATAATTACTCATATATTTTACAAATAAAGGGCCTAGTGATTATATGATTATCATCTAGACTAGATGAGAATTTAGTTTTAAGAAAACTCGCATTTCCAATGACGCTGACATTCGATTTCTCCGTCCATTTGTGAGCAAGCCACAGATTGAAAAAAGTCTTTCAACATATGCTTGAGTTGCAGGAGCTGCAATGAGGTCTTCAGCTAATGGTGCAATATGTGGGTAAACAGCACGTCTCATCTTCCAGAAATTTAAAGCATTTTGGCACATAGAGCTGTTCCTTATTTCAATAAAATATTTGTTGAGTTCATTTTGTGCTTCATTACCTGGAATAAGCTTTATTTTTTCTACTCGCTGTTTTGCCGCTAAAAATTTCCATTTTGTTAATCCATTTATTTCTGGAGCAATCTCAACAGAAAGAGTAGATGCACTTGCTAAAGGTAAATCATGTTGCACCGATTTTTTAGCCGCTGACAAAATGTATTTCTTTGCACACTCTCTGATTTGTGTATGCTCATTACCTAAAAGAGCTATTGCACATGTGGGGTCAAGTAGACATGCGGCACATGGCAGTGGATTAAAATTAGGATCGTTTCGCTGCAAAAGAACGGCAAAATGACGGCGTAGATCTTCAAGCATTTTAACTGCTACATCTTTGGCATCTCCAAATTGCTCAAGGTGACATTCTAAATTAAGTATTGAAGGTATAACACTGGATAGTGAAAGTGCATTCGTCTGAAGAATATCAGTTTCATTGGCAAAAGGTTCTAAAAGATTGACAAAATCCTGAAGCATTATCCATTCGCTATTGGCAAGTGAATCAATGTTAAGGTCTCCAAGCACTTCGTTGATAGATGTCTTTATTTCCAGAAATCTCCGAACCATAAAGTAAATGCTGTTCCATCTTGTAGAACAGTCGCTGATCACAGTCTTACCACATTTATTGATAATTTTTTCCAATGCAACAGAAGATTTGCGAACTTTTCCCACTAATCCACGTACCTTCAAAAGTAAGCCATGATATTTACCATCATATGCAAGTTTTACAACTAGCTGTATAACATGTGCAATGCATCCCAATCTTCTAAATGCTACGTTTTCTATTACATCAATTCATTTAATTTTCAAAACAATTAGCAATTTGTTCACCTGTATGTGGATGTTTCACAAGATACAAATTAAGCAGAGCATGTATTGGTTTTTCGGATTTGAAGTGAAAAAAACAAACCGAAATTCCTAAAAAGGACGCAGTAAGACCTTTTTTAGTCCAGCCATCAAGGCATATTATGAAGCGCCTGCCTTCAGATATGAAGTCACGAAGTTTTCTCGTTAAAACAGTAAATTCTTCATTAAGTAGGCTAGTAATTTTGGCAGAAGCAGGCAATGAAAATTTATAATCCAAGGTATTAACTAACTTTCTAAAACTCGCATTATCCACCAATGTCACTGGATTACATGTTGCAATTATCATTTGAATAAGAGAGTTTAGTCGAATTTTATGCTTGTGTGAATTAATAGGCCATGCGGTATTCCTACGATTAATGCATTGAATCAAGGTCTGGTTCTGATTTGAAGACGATTCTAAAAGAGTGGGCCCATTTTCATCCACTGCTTTTCGCTTTATCCCTGTTTGCTTTTTTTCACTTAATTTCTTTAATTCCGACTCTTCCAGCTCAACGTGTACAGACTTATGGTTTCTTGCTAAATGTAGCTAGAAAAAAATAAACATATTTATATAATTTTTTGTTTGTATATTTATATGTTTATTTATCTATCTGTTTATCAATTAATGTATAAATAAGTTCGTATACGTTATTGAATAATTACTCTAAAATGATAAAAATGAGTCGTTTGTTTCAAAATGAAAACATATCCTCTAACAGATAAACTAACTTTAAGATTTGTTGGGTTCTTTCCACACAACTTTGTATTGCATACTTTTTCACCATCAAGTAAAACTAAACATACTGAGTTGTCGGATGACGCATCGTATTTAAACCATTTCCATACTGAACTATTCCTCTTCCTACCAGCAAAAAGTTTACTCAAACTCATCGCGTAGTTGTGTTGGTCTCACAGTTTGATTTTTTTTAGTTCGAAAAAATATATTCGAATAAATATATTCGAACTATATCATAACTAAACTTATTTGAACTTAATTGAATAAAATTCAATTAAGTTCGAATAATATATCATTATAATGTATTGTAATATAATAATTATATATATCAAATAATTCAACTCGTTTTAAATCTAGAACGAAAATATTTTTTTTTAAAATAATTTTCGATTCAGTTTTTATTCCGTTCGAAAATTTAAAATTATCGTTTTTATTCTGTTCTCGTTCTTAAAATAAATTTCGTTTTAGTTTTCGTTTTCGTAAACGAAAGGCTTTTTTTTTCGTTCTCGTTTTCGTTCTCGTGTACGAAAATATCACTGGGATTATCGTTCACTATTGACCTTTCATGGAAACCATATATACAATTGATTGTTAAATTAGCATCTGTTAAGGTTGCTTTTCTTTATCATGTATTTTTCTTCAAATACAGTTAAAAACAATTTAATTTGAAATAACATGCAGTAGTAGTGTAGTGGTAGAGCGCTCGCTTCATAAGCAAGGGGTTCCAAGTTCGATTCCCACCATGTCCCTGATAGTACCGCGCTCAACTAGTTTCTTAGCACAGCGGCCTTGTTCTTCAAGGTTTGTATTTAGGAGTTATAAAGTTAAGTATATAAGTAGCCTCCTCATCTGTAGTGGCCTTCTGGGCCTTGGGGATATGTAGCTGTTAAAAAATCTATGCTAAAGGTCAATCCATCAGTAGACACGCTTTGTGATTGAAATAAAAATAGTGGTAGTTTCAACAAGGTATAGCACTTGTCCACACAGGTTGTAAATTTAAAGCACAGATGAAAAAAAGCAAAGTAAATTTATTTCCCTTGGCCAACTTGATCACCAGATTTGAGTCTGATTAAATCTATTTGGGCTTTGAAATACAACGAATTAGTCCATAAACAAGGTCCAAATAAGATACATAAATAACCTAAAGAAAGAACTTGATACCATTTAGAGAAAAATTTCTACTGTTTGCAACAATCTTGTTAAATTGATGTAAAAAATGTATAGCTTGAAAATCATTAAATAGCTTGCACTTGGGGAATATTTTAGATTCTAGTTTAGATGTTTATTTTTGTTGCACCAATTTTGATATATATTCCAGTTTTTTTTTGATAATTTTTGTTATTAAGTTTGATAACATTTTTATAAAGAGTTGTATGTTTTTGTATGTCATCCAAGATGTAAGCTTTGCTTAACAAAAATTTTTGGTGCAAATTGAAAAAAAATTAGTTCAATATCTTCATTAGTTTCTATTTTATGACTTTAAATAAATTTTTAGCAACAAAAATTCAATGTGCCTTTTTTTTAAAAAAGCATTGTATAATGCATTTGATTGATTCGTAATCTAGAAGCAAAACTAAGAATAAAATAGATTTAATTAATAGATAGTAAATTAACAATAAATTAATAGATATTGTCAAACAGTTTTTGAAAAAAATGATTGTTTGAAAGAAATGAATGTTTTGATTATATTTTATATCATATTTTAAAATAATTTATTACTCAGCAATATTTAAATGATTGTAATTGTTTGAAGTGTAATCTTTCATGTACTGTTATAAAGTTTAATAATTAGTATTCTTGTAAAAATGTACACATTTTTTTAGTTGTTTTATAAATCTTTTAACGCACACTTTTTTGCTTAAATAAGATTTTTTTAAATTTTTGTTTAGTTTTTGAGCAATATCAAAAGTCAAGGATAACGTTTGTTCAGACTGTTGCTGAACTTGCTTCTCGGCCTCAGAATATTGAAACTTTACAAAATGCAGGTATTTAAATCTTAAATTTTTTAATCCTAAATTGTATTTCAGTTGTTGCTTAATGAAAAAAAATAAATAATAAAAATGAAAATTTCGACAATAAATCTGGGTAATTTTGGGAAATATGACAATAAATTTGGGAAAAAAATATGTTTCTAACAATCCAGTTTTTGAACAGGTGTTTTAGATTAAACCAGTCATTTCTATTGAAAATATGTTAAATTTTAGTCCCTATTGTTATAGCATGGTTATATTGATGATCTTTTTTTGGCAAAATTGAAATTGAGAATCAGCTTTTCTCAAAGATTGCCATCTACTTATTCAACATATATTGTATTACTTTTGTTACAGGAAAAAAATACTTTTTAATCACTAATAAGTTTCTAATAATTTATCTAGTTCCTAATTTTTCATACAGTTTTAAATAGTTAATGATACTTTAATAATCCCTGAGATTTTCGAGTTGTTTCTGATATTTCATAAAGATTACATTTTTATATGGTTTCTGATATTTTATATAGTTCCTTGTATTTCAAAAAGTTCTTTATTTTTTATGTAGCTCTTGATATTATACATGATTCTTTATATTTTATATAGTTTCTGATATTATGTACTAGTTCCTGGTATTTCATACAGTTTCTGATATTTTATGTGGTTCCTTTGTTTCAGATCATGTCAAGTCATAACCAGAATCATTGTGGTTGCACTTTAACAGGATTGTTAAGTCTTTTTGAAGTACCTCTTTAAATTTAAAAAAAAAAATCACTCTGCTACTGGTAACATGTAAAACCTGCCACCTGTTTAAAGGCTAGGACTTCAATCAGGTGGGAGGTGACTACTCCCCTGACTTAGAGTTTGTAGTTGATTGAAGGCTAGAGATGATGTCTCTCTGTAATTAGTCTTAAATTAAAGGTGTCCAACAATAATACTAAAGTCATTTTAACAGCATCAGTTAAGCTAGGTTCTAACTTTTTTAAAAAATTAAATATTGCACTTTCTTTTTGTATTAGTTGCTTCTGACAGTTCAAGCAACTATGACCAGCATCAAGTTCATTAAAGTCTGAACTATTTTGTAATAATAAGCTAGGGATTAATTGTTCCAAATAAACTAAAAATACCAGATAGAAGTTTTATTCAGATGGTGGATGCAAAAAATAAAAGTTGTTTCCTTTATATTAATTATATGATTGGTTTTGGATGATGTATCTTATTTCAAAATTTCATATTTAACTGTTAATGGAAATGGATTTTAATATACTGATGAATAACAAATAATCCTGCATCAATAAAATATGGAAACTCCTAAGTTTGGCGCTAAATTACTAGTTTGGAACTTGTTAGAGGAGTAAAGCCTCAATTAGATTGTGTACAAGAGCTTGTTAGAGGAGTGAAGCCTTGATTAGATTGTGTTCAAAAGCTTGTTATAGGAGTGAAGCCTCGATTAGATTGTGTTCATTGAAAAGGATTATAGAATACAATTGAGTAAAAAACTAAAATAATCATTAAATATGCTTTAAAATTTTTTAAAAATGTTATTGTTTTTACTTTTTATTGAGCTGTACAGATAATACAGCTCAAAAAACAATATATTAAACTCATTCCTAATAACTACTTATCACCCATTATGCATAAAACAAATTTATTGTTTTTAAATTTAGAGGCTTTTAATGTCAATTTTTGTTAAATAGAAACACTGTGAAGCTGATAATTGTTTCTAATTTTTATTGATTAGAAGCACTGTGAAGCTAATAATTGTTTCCAATTTATTTATAAAGTGAGCTTAAAACAGCAAAATATTCAAAAAATATAAAAAATTTTTGTTTAAAAAGTAACTTATTTAAAAAATAAGATCTAAAGAATTGTATCACCTATGCTTACGTTTTTTACAAAGAAAAACTTTCTATAAGAACTTGTTTTTATCTAAATAATTTAATACTAGTCAAATATTTTTTAGCTTTAACCAAATTTGACTATATCTTTAAGATAGAAACATAGCTTTTAGACAAACTTGTTGCATAACATAAGTATCCACAACATTATGTCATATATTTTAAATGAAAAGTAATACTTAGTATAATCCTATATGAAATGTATTAAAAATCTTCCGCAGACTTTCCTACTACTAATTGGCCTCCAGTTATTCTTTTATTTCACAAGTAATAGGCCTAGATTTTAGATACCTGTGACAATACCACAAGAACCTATATGTATTTTTAGTTTAAATCTTTTCAAATATCTATTTATTTGTTATGGGTTTCAAATAATGTATATTATATTAATATATTGTTTAATTTTTTAATATTCTATGTTATATTAATATATATTATTGAACATTATATGATACTCTAATTTAAATTTTGAATTTTACTTAAATAATATTAAGTTATTTTTGGCCACTTTGACAGTTGTTAATTTTAGGCATAATGGCATTGTTAAGGCCTTTGCTTCTTGATGTTGTTCCATCAATTCAACAAACTGCTGCCCTAGCACTTGGTAGACTTGCAAATCATAATGATGACCTAGCTGAGGCTATTGTTAAAGGAGATATCTTACCACAGCTAGTCTGTTCTCTTGCAGAACAAAATGTAAGTTTCATTATTAAAAATAATTGTTTTAATAATTTTTTAACAAACAGCTGTAACAAAACAAGGTTTTAAGCGCGAATTGGCATAAGTGCAATTTGGCATAAGTGCAAAGCAGTTACAAAAACTGGCATAAGTGTTAACTGGTATAGCTACGAATTGGCATAAGTGCACCGAATAAATTTGCAAATATTGGCATAAGTGCGAAGCAGTTATAAAATATAGCATAAGTGCGAACTGGCATAACTACGAATTGGCATAAGTGCGCCGAATAAATTTGCAAATATTGGCATAAATGCAAATTGGCATAAATGCAATTTGGCATAAGTGCGAACTGGCATAAGTGCGAAGCAGTTACAAAAACTGGCATAAGTGCGAATTGGCACTTATGCCAGTTCGCACTTATGCCAGTTTTTGTAACGCTTCGCACTTATGCCAGTTCGCACATATGCTAATTCACACTTATACCAGTTCACGCTTACACCATTTGCACTTATGCCAGTTCGCACTTATGAAATTTGCGCTTATTCAGTCGTCCCTTAAAAAGATACAGTAGACCTTTCTTGTTAAATCTTTAAAGGGATCCCCAAGTACCGTGACAAGTTGTGTTCATATTAAAGAAAATGTTTAAAAAAACATTTGGCCTAAATGTTTTTGATTGAAACTAAATAATGAATGCACACTATTAATATATTTTATTTGAAGCTGGCTGTCTCCATTTTTTTTTTGTTCTCTGAGCCTATATCATGTTAGCTGCAATCTGCAAACTTGGTAATTTATTTCATGTGTGTTTAATTCCTAACAGTTTCAGTATATGACATCATCGCATAAATTTTTTTTTTCAAGATATTGTTTTTTTTTTTTTTTTGCCACAGTGACCAAATCAATTTTTTTTTGGGATTTAATAAAAAGTTGTACAATATAACTTTTTACTAAATCCCAAAAAAAAGTTTGTGATGCAATTAAAAATAAAATAATATAAATGGTTTTGATATTTGAGTAGCGCAACTTGTTATTAACAATTGTAAGTATCTTAATTGAGATTTTTATATAAAAATATGTAAGAATATTTTATATTGAATTTATTTTTTATGTTCAAACTGTTCATTGCAAAACTTGCATTTGACAATCCCAGTAGTTTTTTAACTTTAATGAATGAAAGAATGTTAAGAGACTAAGAGAGATTTTAATATGGCTCGCTTTAAAAACACAACATGTGTTGAAAAATGCAAAATACACAACATTTTATAAAAGTGGGCTAGGATGATTTGACAATTTAAATGTCTGTGTGTCAAGAATTATTGCCAAAATATGAAAATTATTGCAATAATTAATAGTAAGTCATTGGATGACGTAGTAATCCAAACACATCGGGTTTTCTTATATCCTTTCATTAGTTACCCTCAGATCCAATAACTGCAGCTTTATGGAAAAAGGCAATTGATATATATAACTGCAACAAAAGTGTTAATGAACCATCCATTGTAAAGAACTAGTTCTTTACAATGGATGGTTCATGTTCGACATGCATACTTTTCCTTTTTATAATGTATTTGTTTTTATTGTTTGTTATAATACTGCTGCTTATTGCTATGTTTTATGTCTAACAAATTAAGAAATTTTGTAATATGTTAATTGGTTTATTAAATTATCCTAACCACAACAATGGCAATCATTTATAATTGTATTGTTTTCTGCAAATTTTATTGATAAAATTATGATAATTACTCACACCTATAATAAAATAAACAATTAAACTATTTATAGTAGTTATTCCTGCTATATCATATTTCTAATTTTTCTGCCTAAATTTTGACACATTTAAATTACTTTAACATAAAAAAAAGTTCTGTTGTTTTTTTCTGGTAAGTGAAAAGTTTTTTTTTAAAAACTAAAGACTGCATTGTATCAGTTAATTAAGCAAAGCTAAACAAAAACTAAATATAGAAAAGGAATAGTTGCACTAAACCCTATAAAACAAATTAAATATAAAATAAATAACTCCAATAAACCATGAAAATTAGATTTAAATATATATGTGCTAAATTTAAAGTAAACTGCTATTCCTCACTGTAAACACTTAATTTAAGCATAAAAAAAAACTAGAACAAACAATCTCAAAAAACTGTTTAAATTAAAATAAATATAAACTGAAAAGCGTCACTAAACCATAAAACCTAAAAAAATTTAAATTTAATATATAACGAATATTTGCAGTAAAACATACTGGTTAAAACTAAATATAAATTAGAATAAAAAGAATAATTTTACTAAAGCATATAAATTGATTTAAAGTATAAACTGAATAAAAAACAAGTGACTTGAATAAAACATATAAACTGAACTAAGTAGAAAATAAATATTAAACAAATTATTGTACTAATAACCATATAAATCAAACTGATTTTTTCTTCAAAAGACTTTGGTAGTTACTTAACTAAATACTTATACACTTCTACAAGTTAAATTTTAGTGTTAACGCTGCATTATTTTATAACTAAATTTAAAAGTTTTTTTTATGAAGGATTACTCAAGATTTTTTAACTTTGTCAAGTGATAGCTTTTTATAATTACACAATTTTTTATGATAATGTATATTAATTAAACCTTTAGAAGAAAAAAATTATTTGTCTAGAATGAAAACTTATGTACAAAACAAGATAAATTGTGAAGCATACTCGAAAGCTGCTACCAGCTTGCGGTAGTGAAAGAGTTAACCATATAAAATAAATTAAATTAAACATAAAACAAACAACTCTATTAAACCATAATAACTAAATATAAAATGAGAAATCATACTGTATTTATTTTCCCTCTGGTTGCAAACTCTAATTATCACAAAATATGTATAATTGTGTCATGATTTTGTCTGGTTTATAAAATCCAGAATATTTAATGAAGGCTTTGGTGTAGGAGCTCACCATAAAAATTTTATTTAACATTTTATCTTAATTTTATTAAGCTCTCGAACAAAAAAGAAGGGCATTAATCAAATTAAATATAATATTCTATAATAAGAAAATATAACATTCTATAATACTGGTACAAAAATTATAAGTTTAAGAAATAACGCTTATTTAAAAAAATCTAAACAACTAGAATAGATACAATTGTTTAAAATTATCTTGTTGGTTGTCACAAATATTTTTTGTGATTTAGTCAAAAATTATATAAATATTTGATTTTCTGATTGTAGGAGAAAAAATACTTATATCTTAAAAAAACAAAACAAAAAAAAAAATGCTATCTTTAAAAGAATTTGGGATGACATCATATATCAAAACTGTTATGAATTAAACATGCATGATATAATTTATCAAGTCTGCAGATTGGAGCTAACATTATACAGACTCAGAGAATCAAAAAAAAGAATGGAGACAGTGAGCTTTAACTAAAATGTCAATTTTAAAGTTAATAGTGTGCATTTATTATTTAGTTTTAATCAAAAAAAGCCTAAACGTTTTTTTAAACATTTTCTTTATTATGAATACAACTTGTCTCACCACTTGGGAATCCCTTTAACTATAACTTTTAAAATCCATTTTGTAAAAAATTATCTGAGTTTAAAACAATTTCCAAATAAATTAGACGAACGTCTTGATCAGACTTTTTCTAGCATACACATGCATTTCTTAAAGGGATCACAACTTGTTTTCACAAGTTGTTTTCATATTAAAGAAAATGTTATAAAAGATGTTTGGGCTAAATTTTTTTGATTAAAACTTAATTATAAATGCTTACCAATAAAATTAAAATTATCATTTTAGTCGAAACTCGCCGTCTCAATTGTTTTTTGGTTCTTCAAGTCTGTAAAATGTTAGCCGCAATCTGCAGACTTGATAATTTATTTTATGTGTGTTTAATAACATAACAGTTTTGCTATATGACATCATCAATTTTTTTTTTTAAGATATCGTATTATTTTTTCTACCACAATCAGTAAATCATGTTTATTTGTATAACTTTTTACTAGATTCCAAAAAATTTTTGTGATACAATTAAAAATAATATAATATATTATAAATTTTGATTAGGGAGGTTGTGAAAAAACGATAAAGATTTCTTTAAAATTGCTTGTTTAGAGGATGATACCCCAACGGGGGTTTCTAGGAATAAGCATTAAAAGATTTGAAACATCACATACCACAGTATTGAATCTTTTTAAGGGTCAGTATTACATCCATTTTCTGACAAGAATCTGGTATTATACTACATAATTTTCAAATTTATTCAATGTTGATTTTTTTTTATACTCTTTTTTGAATATTTCTGCATCTACTTTTCCTTTCTATGTGTTTTTTTTTGTTTTGTTTTTTTATAATACTGCTGCTTGTTGCTGTGTTTTACGTCCAACAAATTGAGGAGTTTAGTAATATTATGTTATTTGGTTTATCACATTATCTGTACCACAACAATGGCAATCATTAATAATTGTACGACAATTACTCACATCAATAATAAATTAAACAGTTAAACTACTTATAGTTGTTTTAATCAGATTTTTAATTTTTCTGTTTAACTTATCCATTTATTAATACAGATTATTACTTTAACACACAAAAAAGTTGTGTTGATTTTTTCTGGTAATTAGAAAGTTTTGGTTGAAACTGTAAAACCTATTCATCTCATGAATAAAGTTTACTACTGGTTTGAATCGTTTAAATTAAACATAAACTAATATTAAACTAAAGAGCTAGACTGTGTTGTATCAATTAAGTTAGACTGGGTTGTATCAATTAAGTAAAACTAAACAAAAATTAAACATAAAAAAGGAATATTTCCACTCAACCGTATTAAACAAATCAAATGTGAAACGAGTACTTCCAATAAATCATGTAAACTAAGTGTAAATATATATGCGCTAAATACAAAACTAACAGCTACACCATACCGTAAACACTTAATTTAAAACTAAACAAAACTTAGAACGAACAATAAACTGTATAAAATTAAAGTAAATATAAACAAAAAAAAAGATAAAAATGTCACTTAACCGTACAGCC